CAGCTCTTTCTAAAGTTAATGATATTGCTTCGGAAATGAGGTGACAGAAATCTTCCAACTTCTTATAGCAGAATTTTTACTTCTCCATTAGTCTTCACTTTCTGTGATAACCCATCAGTGCTGAATTAGAGTTTTTGCAACCCAACACTTGAAAGTTCTCCTTATTCCTTGCTCCAGGCAACTGCTGTGATAACATGTTTACAAATCTTCCTCCGAGTTAAAAACCTCTTAAATGTTTGTACAGTAGGATATCCTAGACCACAAATTCTCCATAATTCTATGGCTGTTTGCAATTATCTGTTGTGAAAACACTGATGTTATTACACTTTTAAGAGAAAGCATTTTTTGGATGTAAAGAATTGTTTATTAGGTTTTTCTTCTTGCCTTAAAGCATACTGATTTCTCTATTTGTGGTACATTATGTTTTTATGGTCAACCACTGCAGTCTTACAGGAAGAAAAACTCTAAGGAAGTCTGAGGAAAAATGACCAACTAGATGAAACATTTTAGATATAAATGCTACGACTAAATTAATATGGGAGTTGATTAATTTTTAAAATATTTATTGACATCTATCATAATATGTTCAGAATTATGATCACCCTGTTTGTATTGGAGGCACTGTTGTAAGGCACTTCCAGGTTGAAGGGCTTAGCCAGTGACATCACCGTTGCCCGGGAGACACCATGGGGGCTCCTTTCATGTCCCCAGGAGCTGGACCGAATGACAGGAGCTCACCCCACCATGCAGCAGTACTCAGGTCTCAAACACAGGCTTGCTAACCTCCATCCCAGCATCCCAACCATGTGAGCCACTGATATGTCTGGATTATAATCATGGGAAATAAATCAGACCCAATAGAATCCCTAATCAATTCTACAGAGTGTCTATTTATTTTCTGATTAAAAATAAAATATCAATCAGTAAAATTCCTGTATGACCAGGAAGAAAGTTCTTCACTGTCAAATATGTAATATTTATTTTTCTTATCTTATAAGACATCACTAAGTTGTTTCATAACTTACTGAATTTTATACATATACATGCATAGATATGCACACACAATTTGCACACATGTGTTTAAAGGGAATGGTTTTTCTAAAATATCTTTACCAAATAAGTTTCCTAATTTAAAAAAAGGTTCTCCAGATGTTAGCTTTTTATTAAAGCTTCATTCAAAGGTGTGGGTGTAATTATTTTAAAAAATGTTTGAAATCAATTAATTTACCTTATGCAGAATCCTTTTAAAATTTAATCCCATTTTAATCAAGTTCTCAGTAAATAATTGTTATGTGTATTTGATGGAGATTAAGGCTAGTTTATTCATAATTATATGACCAATTTTACACTCACAGGGTTGTGATTAAAATCTATAAATTTCACAAGATGGCACATGCAATTAAAACATCACAGACTTTATTCAGTGAGTTAAAGTATTTGGAAACAAGATTCACAGGCAAACAAGAGGTTTGAGGTTATTTTTAAGTATTCTTTTTCTCAATTTCTACTATTAGAAGTAATGGTTGTACTACTTGAAAGACTTGGGCTTATCTACAAATATATAAACCTCAATCCATTACTTAGCCCTATTTTTATTTGTTACAATTATGATTCTTCTCAGAATTAATAAGCAGCATTAAAATATATCTTAACTGGTTAACTTTATATTTGGAATAGCAGTGGGAGAAAAATAACAAAGCATTCTGGCCAAATTTGTCTCAAATCATACTGCAGAACACCATTTTGTCATTTATTATTTCAGTTTATAAATCAAATTTCTGTCCATGTCTGAAGTAATATGTAAGTAATCAAAAATTATGATCTAATGACTCTTGTTATTCTCTAGGGACTTAAGATGTACCATACTTCAATATATCCTCCTTTCTCTATACTATTTAAAATATTATTTATTTGCCTGTAGTTTTCCTGTATTATTTTCTTCCCCAAAAGATCCCAAACTAACCTTAAAATCACTAAGAGGATATTGAATTTATTAATTAAATCATAAAGCCAAAACTGTGAAAACAAGCGCATAGGAATAAGTCTACACAGATAGCTTCTCTGTAAGGTTTTCAAAAAAGAGACACTACCTTGCTTTGACATTTCAGTTAGAGAGAACCTGGGGAAGGTTTGGTGTTTGGTGAGGCAAAATATCACCACTAACCTGGTTCCTGGGTTATTGTAGTGGAGAT